ACGTATGGTATTTCCTGAAACATCCAAAAAACAAGGTACATAGCCTCGGGCACTAGGCAAAAAAAAAAAAAAAAAAAAAAAAAAGAGTACACAAAGCACTTAGCACATCTAGCACGTGGTAACACTCAATAAGTTACAGACACTACTAGTTACATATCCGTGAGTGAGCCGAGGCTCATTTTATAAAGGGGGTATTGACAGTTACACAGAAAAGCACTCTGACACCTCAAAGTGCCAGGTAAGCAGGAGTTACCTCTACTGGAGGAGGGCAGGCTCACTGGTTCCCACGCCAGTTGCTCTCCTTACAAGCAGCAGCTTACCATTAACAACGTGGTATTTAGGGCACTAACTTTTTTAGAAATATTACTCTGATATCAATAAATTAACAGAATGTCTATAGGACTATAAAAAAATTTATCATTTTCACGACATCTAAGCAAGGGTTTTTCTGGCTTCTATAGATTATCATCACTTTTGCCTCTATTACTATCTTGTTATAGACCTCGTACATAGTAGGAACTTAGTATCTGCTAAACTGACTGCAGATCACCGGATAATCTAAAACTTGAACTTTACAAGTACTTACTTATCTCAGAAAGGATAGAGAAGATATTATGAATAATGAACTCAAGCAATTGTTAGATCACCTCAGATGAGCTCAATAATGTTGAAAAACAGCACTTACCAAAGTAAAGGAGGTCAGTATTGCCTCCATTGTAATACCACATTTTTAAGTGAAGGTACTACTTAAAATCGTCTTCCAAAGGTCTGAGCACGGATCTAAGCTCAGATGTGACAATGCAAAGCAGCCTGAGCTCTGCCAAGTCAGTTCAATTGCTATTTACTGCCTACCTGCCCTTTGCAAGGTACCCAGCTGAGCAACACAGGCAAAGGCACTGATGTATACTGTACGATGCAGACACCAAGGCAGAGAACAAGATCAAACCCAGGGCTGAAGTGCAGTATTAGCATGGCAGGATGGGAGGGACTGAGAGAAGGAACAGGGCAGCCCTGAATGAAAAGTCATGTTAGGAAAACTTTATGGAGGAGGTTCAGCTTAAGCTAGACCTTGAGTGGCAAGTAAGATTTGAATAGGGAGAAATGACTTCTACGTGACTAAAATGAAAATTCTACATGGCGGTTAAGCCTTTAGGAGTGGGTTGGCAGAAGTTTATAGCAGGCTTTGATGCTAGAATGAAAAGTTTTAGACTCTTCTGCTTAAATCATTTGCTTTTCAAAAGAAGTAGACATTTAGCCTGTACTTTATAAAACTAGTAGTCTTCCCTGGATTGCAGTTAAATTGTATAGATGCTGGTATTTCAACAGACTGTAAGCATCACGCCTGATTTAACACTGTATATTTTATTGGAGCATAAAGTGCCTACATACTAAGTACTTGGTAAATGTCCACTGAATGACCAAACGATTCTCAGGATGAATTAGTGCAAAGTCCAAATATGGGGGCTCCAGCTGGCAAGCCACCTAGGCTTTGATCAAACAGCTACATCAGAAAGTTTGCTGTTAGAATAAGAATCCCACACATCAGATTTCTGTGGAATACGTGAGCCCCATCTCTAGCTCCTCTCCCCACCACAATCACAGCAGTCAGATAAAGTTGAGGAGTTTATTAGGGAAATATGAGAGATAAAGACACCCCAAGTGAGAGAAAGAAAACTCTGAAAATGTCCCTTTTCAAGCCAAGTGGGGGCCTGGACTTGACCTCCCCAAAAGGACAAGAAACTGGTGGGTTAGCAACAACATTCTCTGGCAGCCACCTCGCCAGGGCATCTCAGCCAGGACTGCTTCTGAGCCCCGGCCAAAGGTGGGGAGGAGGCAAAGACCGTTTATAGAATCAAGGCAGAGGCAATGAGAGCTACAAGGAAAGGCTGAGAGACAGAGAAAGAGAGAGGTGGGGAGGACCTTGACAGAGTCCCGCCTTTTGGCTCTTAGCGCCTCAAATATGTTGACAAGTAGTTCTACAAAGTGTCACTGAAGAAGTAAAACGCCTAGTGTTGTTTCTGAGAGTTCCCCTGGCTCCTCCCCACACGCCACATCACACTGCTGGGTGGACATGGCAGAGCCCAAAGGCCACATTTTTGAAAAAAAGGAAAACAAGAATAAGCCCTGTTGCTCTTTAAGGAGAGAGGAAGGAGCTGAAGGCTGCTGGGGCCTTTCCCACGAGGGTCTGCGTTCTGTAAAAGCAACTTCCCAGCAGCAGCTTGGCACAGCTCTAGGTGAGGGTCTCACCTTTTGTCACCTGTCAAAGGAAAATTGACAATCAGATAAATTCAAAAGCATTAGAGGGGTCTAAAAAAAAAAAATCTTATTTTCTATCCTAGGTAGTTGGGAGTGGTAGAAAAGATGACAGCTTCAGAGTCCCAGAAAGCTGGTTTAAATTCAGGCAAGGTAGTTAACTTCTCTAAGCCTGTTTCTGCTTCCAGGTTTTTTCAGCAACAAGTGGAAATGTGCATTCTCTCTTGCACAGCCATGCCTGCCTCATGAGGAAGGCCCTTGCCCATCATACTCACCCTTGCTTCAATGTACTCTATTCTCCGTTCAAGAGCTGTCAATTTCTCGTTTAGTGTTGCGAGTCTTGAACGACAAGACATATCTGGTAAAAGAAGACTGACGTTCAGGATTAATGCCATTCCAGACACAAAAACACACACAGCCCCTAAGATGAAGAGGAGGAATGATATATCATGCAGAGCACAGATAAGAAGAACGAGCGGGAAAACCAAGGCAGTGGGAGGATAAGGTGAGAAGTATCTTAGGAGCACAGCTGCTTAGAGCGGATCTGCCTAACTTCCTACCAAACGTGGCAGGCAGAGAATAATGCCGCCCCGCTCCCCCCGCAAGAAGTCTACGCTCTAATCCCCAGAACCTGTGAATATGTATCCTACAGGCAAAGGGACTTTGCACATGTGACTGAAGTTAAGGACCTTGAGGTCCTGGATTATCCAGACGGGCCCCATCTAATCACAAATCCATAAATGGAAAAGAGAAAGGAAGAAAAAGGTGGAAGAAGAGATTCGAAGTGTGAGAGGGACTCAACCTGCCACTGTTGGCTTTGAAGATGGAGGGAGGTAGCCATAAACCAAGGGATGCAAGTGACCTTTAGAAGCTGGGCGTGGTCCTTAGCTGACAGCCAGCAAGGAAACAGGGACCTTAGTCTCACAGCTGCAAGAAACAGAATTCTGCCAACAACCTACGGGCAGGAAGCAGCTCCTCTTCTAAAGCCTCCAGCCCTGCTGACACTGTGATTTCAGCCCAGTGAACTAGTGTAGGACTTCTGACCTACACAACTGTAAGATAATAAATGCATGTGGTTGAAGCCGCTATATTTGTGGTAATCTGTTATGGCAGCAACAGAAAAGAGAAAACTAATACAGCAAGGCTGTACAGATGGCCATTTGCTAATAGGCAAACCAAGAGCTTCAAGAGAGGGGAAATGACAAGAGGAAGAAAATAATCTCAATAGGGAAGAAAAGCAGAGGCCAAGGAAGCAGCAGACCCTGAGGAGGAGGGAAGGTGTGGTGTTTCTGAGCTCATGGAAGCCAGCTCACTGCTGCTGCTCTAAGGGCGCTTGATGTCCCATCAGCACGTGCACAGCCCTTTCAGAACAAGAGAAAACTTGGAGAACATCAACTACCCTGTGGATCCCACCTTGCATCTGCAAAAAATTCCTTTTCTTCCCCTATCCTTTCCAATCTCTTTTACCACCTCACCCAAAAGGAAACCTAGATTTGCCCTAAAATACCTTTCCCCCTGCAAACTTCTCTGACACAAATCACTTGGCGACTCTTCCTCCAGCTGTTCTCAACATCCGGGAGAAAAAGGTTTCCAGGCATGCTAATTACTCCCATACGCCTCCCCAAACTGTTCTTCAGTCATCTCTCAATAATCCTCACTTCTGAAGTTTAAAATATCCGCTCTCCCAGACACTCTCCCACCCAGTGATCTAACACTTAGCTCACACCCCTCCTTTTCATCTCTTCCCTGGATGCTATGCAAAAGCACTTCAGCACCCAATTTAACAAATCTTGCACACCCTGATCTTGCCTTGCCTTTCATTTCATCAAGTCCAAATCCTACTCATCTTGCCCTTTTAAACACTCTCCTTCAAGTCAGTTCAAAGTGGACCTCTGAGAGGTCTTTGCTGAATGGATATCACTCTCCCTCTTCTGTAAGGATTTGCCTATGCCGGACATTGTACGCTCTTCTTTTTCACCTTGTTTTTTTGTGTTTTTTTTTTTTAATCCGCTAGTGCTGCTGCTTCTAATTCCCAGGCTCAGCTTGAGTAGGAGCACCTAAGCACCCTCCTTTTCCCGGATACACTGCCACTGCTAGGACTGCCCAACAGGACCTAATCTCTTTTCAGCCTGGTTTTTAGAAGCTCAAAGGCACATCGTGTATGCTATTCAGTAAGAGCATGAATGTTATCACCGACAACCTGTCTTTTCCCATAAAAACGTCTGCCAAAATGAAGGCGCAGGGTGGTGAGAGGGAGGGTTCCTTCCTGGATGGCTGTTCTGTTCTAGCTCTGTCAATCTGGTGATGAATCAGAATCCAAGAACAGCACTATGTTACTGGCCTGCATGGATAAGCACTGCTGAAAATGTAAAATGTTGAACTCTAGAAACCTCAGTCGTATTTCAGATGCCGTTAAATACATACCGATTCAAACAAAATGCTGGGAAACCATGAGGCAGCCGGACAAATTTGAAACCACAATGCATTTATATGTACATTGTCACCAGACTGTAATGGAAAAAGCCAGTTGTCCTCATCAGGGTGCTTGATGGTGTGCATACATTACCACCGCTAACAAATGCCAGTTACCAGACAACTTCTCTGAACTCTTACTGCACGTAACCTTAACCTACAAAAATCAGCACTGTCTTTCTCTTAAGGTCTTACTTCTCCAACAAAATTATAAACTTCCTAGGAGTGGCTATGTCCATTTATTCTTATTTATCCCTTTCTCACAGCATCTGACGCACAGCTGGAGTTACAAGAGGCAAGCTGTATTTGTTTGCCAAGTATAAGAATTGAGATTTAAAAACAGCCTCATTCTCAGGCTTCCCTGGTGGCGCAGTGGTTGAGAGTCCGCCTGCCGATGCAGGGGACACGGGTTTGTGTCCCGGTCCGGGAAGACCCCACATGCCGCGGAGCGGCTGGGCCGCTGAGCCTGCGCATCCGGAGCCTGTGCTCCGCAACGGGAGAGGCCACAACACTGAGAGGCCCACGTACTGCAAAAAACAAACAAACAAACAAAAAAACCCAGCCTCATTCTCTATTTTTTTTTTTGTTACATTTCTCTGAACATATTAGCTTTAGAGTCAGAAAAAAAGGTGTAAAAATAAAAAGCTATCATCTGTAACAATCTATTTTTAGAAACGTCATCAATTCAAAGTACAGAATAGGCCCAGTGTTAGGATGTTAGTGCTCCATCACGATCTGTGCGTCCTCAGGTTCAGGTGGTCCTCCAATGCTTAAAGCGTAAACCACAAAGAGATCAAAATTCTACTCACACTAGCTGGAATCACAGGGTAAAAGCTGTTCAGAATCATTAGGTATCCTGGAAAAACAGTTCCCTCCCCAAAGCACATGCCCTACACAACCTCTCTGTGGTCAGGGTGAGAATTATAGGTCTGCTGCCATTTTCAAAAAGCTATAGATGCCCCCTCAAAGTAAACGCCTGCTAAATCTTTGCACCACCAAATCACATTATAAACACAATACAAAGCTCCCCCAGATACATGTCAGAATTGAGGAGTCATGCTAAGGGCTTAGACAGGGAAAATACATGCCACACTCACTCATCCTGAGTCATCCAATGCCAAGACAACACACTGAAGTCTATCCTTATGGTTTATCCAGTTTCTCTGCCTGGTGGTCTTTGTCTAAACTCTTGTATCGTGATATCGTGATATCGTCAATCTTCAGGAACTTGCCTCAGGTATACCTAACTGCTAAGATAAATTGCTTTAACTTTTAATCGTGCTTCCTAATTGTTCTTACTTGTAATTAATTGTTCTTTTCTTTAAAAGGACTAAATCCACTTTCTAAAATCTTCAAAAACCACCTAGTAATTACTCCAAACATTAGGCCATTATCCTCACCTTAAAGGAGAATAATGGCCTAAGCCAAGGGAAGCCATTTCTTCCAGCTCCTGAAGAATGGAATCCTATGCATCTACTTCCTTGGTCTAGGACTTGCTGGAAATTTTGAAGAAAAAAAAAAAAGTCTTTATTCTCTATCTGATCACAAAATGGGACTCACACGCAGTTGCTAAAATCTCACAACAGGTATTTCCTTGCTTATAAAGCAAGAAAAGAGACACTTCTCCGCAATCCTAAGCTCAAACTCTTCAATTTCCGGTTAGTTCCAAGACTCACCCACTAAAACTTCAGTAATATGTCAAGAAGTTTTATGCCAGAGATAAATGTATGTTTATTATATGCTTATTAATATGATTCCGTGCTCAGAAACGAAGTTATTACATTACCTAGATCCAAACTGGGGGAAGTGAGATGCTAGATCACTTTTAAATGTTGAACAACAGCACCAGTTTAACTTGTTATTTTAGATGCTTTATTTACTGAACTGACATTCTTAATACTCTGTTTGGATATTCTGTGTCTACATATCAGATACTAACTCCTACCAGATAAATGAAGCCTTTTGCTTTTGGGGTTTTTTTGCGGTACGCGGGCCTCTCACGGTTGTGGCCTCTCCCGTTGCTGAGCACAGGCTCCCGACGCGCAGTCTCAGCGGCCATGGCTCACGGGCCCAGCCGCTCCACGGCATGTGGGGTCTTCCCGGACCAGGGCACGAACCCGTGCCCCCTGCATCGGCAGGCGGACCCTCAACCACTGAGCCACCAGGGAACCCTGCTTCTGGTTTTAAAAGTAAAAACTCTCCATGTCAGTTATCTGTCCAACTACTTTCCACTGCCTCTGCAGACTAAGCCAAAGTGTCAAAGCTGTGACCCTGTCATCACTCCATCCCTCCTGGGGCATGGAACATTTTGTTTTCTCTTATCTGGCTCTGCCTCTGAGGGAATGTTATGAGTAAAGAATGCCCTAAAGAACCCCCAATAATAGTTTAGCTCTCTAAGGAAGCAGGAGAGACAATTAGGAAAACTAACATCAAAATAGTTTGCACAGAACTTAAAAAATAATTTCAGGATACATGAGATCTATGACTTCTTGACTACCATTCCCTACTACAACCTCTATACTAAGTTATATGTGTGAATTTGTATCACTGACGTATAATTTATACTATTCTCATCTCATTAATACTACCTTCACCCTCATTCCCTGTGTAAGGAAATCCATCACACCAAGTCACATTGTATGTGAATATATTAAGACAAAAGCAATGTTCTGCTTTGTTCTGAAGTTGTCCTTATTTCATCTTCAAGGCTTCTGTGTCCTCCACAGAACCTGAGAGAGAGCCTTGTACTCAGATCTAGTTTCTCTTGCTGATGCTTTTTGACAAGACTCTTGCCCTGTCACCTTTATACTCCTTAGGACTTGTCAGTTCTCTAGCTAGAAAATAATTCCTTTTGAAATCTTTTTGAATACATCGGTGTCCCCTCCTTAATCTTAATCGCTTAATGTTGCTGAAAGATTGGACCAGAAGCACAGCAGTTGGAAAAAGATCACTAGACGTCATCCCCACACCTTGTGATGCCACAGAAAGTCTACCCAGTGTTCAGCTCTCTCAAAGAAACACTTGGAGAACATGAGGTAGGGGGTCTCTGCTAGGCGCCTGCCGTCCAGAAGGATGTGGAACAATGCGAGCAGGCCTAGGAAAGATTTTGCTAGAAGCAGACAGAACACCCACCGTCGGCTAGAGACTAGCAATGCAGAGATGTCGATGGCCTGACGCGATGTGGACCTTACTCTGCCCTCATCTGCTGCCACTGAGTACAGCGCGCGCGGAGACAGGAAGGAACCCACAGGAGGGGCCGGAGGGGTGACTAAGAGGCTCCGAGCTCAAGGGTTTCGACTCGATCCGGAAGGAGATGGGCAACCGTCTAGAGTCTTTACAAGGCAGTAACACAGCCATGCTGCGTTCCGAGCGCCAAGTGGGGACTGGAAGCGAAGCACAGAGGAAGAAGGGAGGCGACTGAAGAGAAGAAAAGAAGCAGACGATGGATGGGGCTGCCTGACGTATCCGGGAAAAGGAAACACTTGTTAATGGATCCGGGGTGAAGGTACGGAAGCCGATGAGCTCAGCGTGGGGCAGGAACACCCCACAGGGACTGCCCAGTGGAGGCCGGGGGTCAGGGCGAGAGGGGGAAGGTGCGGCCTGAAGGAGGAAGCGAAAACCAGCAGGAGCTCAAGGCTCCCCGAGTCCCCTTCAAAGCTTCTCAGCGCCCTCCCTCAGCAGGCCTCCCTCCTCCCAGCCTCCCCCTGCTCGCCCGCTGACCGAACGAGTTGAGAAAGTCTGCGATTTTCTTGATGCTGCTGGTGATGACCTCAATGTACTCCCGGTTCGCCCAGTCCTGGTGAATCTCCCGCTGCACGGGATCCTCTTGCCCCGCCATGGCTGCAGCCTAAGGAAGCGCGATTGCGCAGGCGCCTCGTTCCTCCAGGCCGCCAGTGCGCCTGCGCCGCCAGCCCACACCGGTCCCGAGGCACCCACGAATCCACGGGCCTTGTGGTGCGCCTGCGCATTGTCACGTCTTCACTGGCCTCTTCGCGCTGCTCCCACGCCCCTGAAGACCATGGCCTCCAGGCCGTGGAGAAGAATGGAGTGCCCACGCGCCAAAGTCGCCCCCCCACCCCATCCCTCGCGCCACCGCCACCACCACCTCTGTCTCTGGAGGTTACGGTCGTTGGCGGGGGAGCGTGGGCCCGCATCACCCCTTCCGTCGGGTGCTACAAACTAAGCTTGCGGTCTGTGTCCACAATAAGCTGGGCATAGCCAATTAAACCACATTAAATACAAATCATTTTTAAAATGCCTTTTAACAACACAACATGATGTCCCACCTTACAATTGTCAAATGAACATTTTTTTTTTGTAACGATAATACTCAGTGTTGAAGAGGCTGAGGGGAAATTGGTAAACTCGTAAATAGCTGGTCACCCTGTAAACTGGCACAAACCCTTCGGAAGGAAATTTGTAAATTGTTAGCAAGAGCTGTAAAAATTTTCAAACTTTTTAACCTAGGTATTAACAAAATTATTGAAAAAGAAAAAACATTTTATGCACAAAGGTGTTCTTTGAGGCATTATGTGTTTTTAAAAAATAAATCTCGGTGCGGGAGACGCGGGTTCGTGCCCCGTTTCGGGAGGATCCCACGTGCCGCGGAGCGGCTGGGCCCGTGAGCCATGGCCGCTGAGCCTGCGCGTCTGGAGCCTGTGCTCCGCAAATGGGAGAGGCCACAACAGTGAGAGGCCTGCATAACGCAAGGAAAAAAATAAAAATAAAAAAAATAAATCTCAACAGTTGGGGAATGGCTAAACATTGGTATGGCCACTTAGAGCAATATTATGCAGTCATATAAATGCTAATTATGAAAAACTGTGGCAACATAACGGAGATGATAAATGAAAGGGAAAACAAAATGCATGTTTGTTTTTTTTTTTTTAAATTGCAACTATGCAAAAATTATATCTGCTTGAGGACAAGAAGGATATACCAAAAAATGTCAATACCTGGTTTGTTAAGGTAGTGGGATTATGGGCAATTTTATTTTTGTTTCAGGGAATATGTACAATCTGGTTTGTACGGTAAATGCCTTTCATTTTTTAAAAAGTGATGAACAGTCAGATTTCTTCTAGCAGTAGCTGGGAAGAAAACATTACTAACAGTCCTGTACTCTGGTAGAAGATCTTATAAGCTATAATGCTGCTTTTTTAAAAAATAAATTAATTTAATTAATTTATTTTTGTCTGTGTGGGGTCTTCGTTGCTTCACGCAGGCTTTCTCTAGTTGTGGCAAGCGGGGGCTACTCTTCGTTGCAGTGCGCGGGCTTCTCATTGCGGTGGCTTCTTTCATTGCAGAGCACGGGCTCTAGGCATGCAGCCTTCAGTAGTTGCAGCACGTGGGCTCAGTAGTTGTGGCGCACGAGCTTAGTTGCTCCGCTGCATGTGGGATCTTCCCGGACCACAGCTTGAACCCATGTCCCCTGCATTGGCGGGCGGATTCTCAACCACTGCGCCACCAGGGAAGCCCCTATAATGCTGCTTTAATAGCTGTTACCTCACTGGATCCTCACAAACCCTGTGGAAGGAAGTGAGGAAGAGGTTTCCCATTTTACAGATGAGAAAACTGAAGTCCAGGGTCACAGAGCCAATTAAGTGGTGGACCTTCACCAGCTGATTCCAGACTCCATTATCTTTTCACTGTACCACTCTGAGAACAGGTTAAAGTCCATCTGAGCTCTCCCACATTTTCATGTAAATGGTTTCTAAAATAATAATAAATATCGATCCTAAATATCACACCCAGGCATCCAGAAGGCTCTCTGCCATTCAGTCCTCCAGTTATGGGTTTGCCACTTTGGTACTTCTTCATTGTAGGAATTGTTCCCAACGCGTGATGCAGGGCTTCACAGACAAAGCTTCAGGAATGCTCTTGGTGCAGCAAGGAGTGCTTCCGGGTGATAGACTGCCTCGGCATAAGGGAGACAGATCCCTATCCTTGAGTCTGTCACACACTTCACAGAACTTGGGGATCTTGTCACTGACTCCAGGTATAACAATCAGTGCGAAATCAAATTCTTGAAGAAATGTTTTGATTGCATTCTGTGGTCATTTAGGTTGCCTTTGCAATCATGTGTACTTGGACCATTATTTGCATGGCTATAGGTATAGTGTGTGCAGTGTGGCAAAGTTGCTGGCTACTGTAAGAACATTATATGGGCTCTCAGCAGAGCAAATGCGGCTGTTGTCACGAGAATCCCTGGATGGCGCAACCAGAATGTTGGGTTGCATGATACAGACCAAACTGATGTTGTAGGTCATCAATAATATGAAGTATGGGAGATTCTGGCTTTCTATACATGTACGGTAGCCGTGGAGGCGGAGTATCAGACTTGGAGGTGATGGCAAATGTTACCTCCAAGAATACATCCCTTAATGTTGGGCAGATTAGACAGGACTGTGGTGCAGATTGTCATAACAGCAACAATTCTTAATCATACAACTCTGCTTTGGGGGAATTTCATTTAAAAAACACAACTGGGCTTCCCTGGTGGTGCAGTGGTTGAGAGTCCACCTGCCGATGCAGGGGACACAGGTTCGTGCCCTGGTCTGGGAAGATCCCACATGCCGCGGAGCGGCTCGTCCCGTGAGCCATGGCCGCTGCGCCTGCGCGTCCGGAGCCTGTGCTCCGCAACGGGAGAGGCCACAACAGTGAGAGGCCCGTGTACTACCCCCCAAAAATAAAAAACACAACTGTGCAATAAAAACTACTGTTTTGTTTGCTTTTTAAATAAAAAGTATCTCTTTTATTCAAGAGGAAAATAAAAATAAACTTACTGGGTGAAAAAAAGTTGCAATTCAAAATCATCTCAGGGGACTTCCCTGGTGGTCCAGTGGGTAAGACTCCGCGCTCCCAATGCAGGGGGCCTGGGTTCATTCCCTGGTGGGGAAATAGATCACACATGCATGGCGCAACTAAGAGTCTGCATGCCGCAATGAAGGTCCCAAGTGCCGCAACTAAGACCCGGTGCAGCCAAAATAAATATTAAAAAAAAAATCATTTTAGTCTTTTCCAAGACTCATCATTCTCTGCCCCTCTCTCCACCTCCAACTCTCATATCTCTCCTTCCACATAGATACACATGCGTGCGTACACACACACACACACATACACCGTGGACATCTGACAATTCTTGACAAGTCCCTCAAAACTATCTTGTCTTCCAAACCAGGATCTCAGCCTGACCCCATCCCTGGGCCCCAGTCTTTCCCCTTCAGCTTCACCCAAAGAGCCAGGCAAAAGGTGACCACTCTTGTTTGTGCTGTGTTCTATGGTTCACAAAGTGCAAGGGCAATTTCTGGGTATATAAGGGAAGGGCAGGTGGGCCATTAGTTAATTCCTCCTACAAATACTGTACCCTGCCAGGCACTGTGATGGGCACTGCAGATGTAGGAGTCAGCTGGGTAGACCTGTCTTCCCCCAGCCTTCCAGACTAGTTGTTTGCAGTGAGGTTTAAAAGTAGTCAGATCACTCCTTCACTAAGGTGAAAGTGTCAGTTTCTCAGCTTTGTGAGAATGGGACAGAATCTTCCTTCTTGAGGTTTAACAGAAAGCAAAGTTTTTGGTTGGGAAGTCAAGGAGACACATATCTTTATTTGCTCTTGACAAGCGAGCACGTATAAATTCCGTGCCCCTGCATTGTGATCATTTCAATGCAGCAACAAAGGCCTTCAGAATTCTGGGTAACTCAGCCCGAATACCCAGAGCAGGGTTTAAAGAGTAGAGCTTACATTTTAACACTAACTACAGCTCCCGGGACATTTATGCAAGTTCCTGGCCACAGCCTTTGAAGTGGGTGCGTTGTGCTCTCTGACCAGATCAAAGGCACACCACTGGGGCGAGGCAGGGAGGAGATGGAGGGGAACAGAGAGGACGGTGACTCGGACCAGCGCTCCTGAAGGGCTGAGTCCTGGACCAGGTGTTCCAATCAGGTGGGGGTTCCTAGCTGGGGCGCCTCGAGGCCCCCACCCTCACCCCCCTGCGGCTCGGGCTCCCCCGCCGTCCTGGGTCACAAAAGCGGTTGCCAGTCGCCGGGGGGGGGGGGGGGGG